AAGCCTATCCCGAGTTATGAACGGTCAAAAACCGCAAAATGGTACAAAAAGGCCACAAAATACTGTTTTTAGCAGGTTTAACCTTATGTAACTTGAAATCGGTGTCGAAAATCGTGGCAGCCGTTTAATTATAACCTATATTAAGTTTTTTGCGAGCTTTCTAACGACATAGGTGATATTTGCTAAAAGTGAACTTCGAAATTTCACTTTTTTATAAGAGGACTTTAATAGGTGAATGGTAAGAAAAACAAAATGTTGTGGCAACCAGGAGCTAATTTATAATCATGCCTCTGCAGCCAAAAACTGTCCTCAGGGTATACCTAACATTATGCCAAGTTGACAATTGTTGTATAATTTTTACTAATCTGCCCCACTATGATTTGCAATTCAATCTATGACATCATACCCGCAAAAGTTGAATAAATTTTCTAACAAAGATATACACTCAGGCATTACATTTTTTTCTTAGAATGGCTCAAATATTGGAGATACTGTATCAAAAATCACATATGGGGTTGGTGACACTTTATTTAAATCGGTCTGGAAAATGGCACCGCGTGTTACCGTACCTTCGTAGTAACTAAAGCCTCGTTATTTCGTTTTGTTACAGAATATTCTAGCTTCAGCATGTGCCAACGAGGCGAGTCTTGGCGAGCGAGCAGAAATACCCACAGTACCAACACCCCCAGTACAGCCACCAGCAACCAAACCATCACTCATGAATGGTCGTGCCATCTCACCTGTCGAAACCAGCAGACAGAGTACCTCAACAATGACGTCATCCAGCACACCCCCTCCTCCCAGACCGTTGGTCCCACCCATGACAAGGCTACCCCTCGCACCAGGTCAGTTGCTTTTTTATGTGATTTCTACTTTCTATGGTATATAGCATTTTCGGACGCTTACGTCAGGAAAGGATTAGGTTCTGGATAAGCTATTGGATTAGGGTGACGTTGGGATTTGGATGAGGATTAGGGTGATGTTAGGATTGAGGTTATGTTAGGATGAGGTAAGGATTAGGATGAGGTTAGGATTAGGGTGATGTTAGGATGAGGGTGATTAGGGGTAATGTTAGGATTATGGTGAGGTTGTGGTTAGAGTGAGGTTAAGATTGGATGAGCTTATCGTTAGGATTAGAGTGATGTTAGGATGAGGGTGATTAGGGGTAATGTTAGGATTACGGTGAGGTTGTGGTTAGAGTGAGGTTAAGAATGGATGACGTTATCGTTAGGATTAGGGTGATGTTAGGATGAGGGTGATTAGGGTAATGTTAGGATTAGGGTGAGGTAAGGATGAGAGTGGGGTCTGCCTCGTCCCCAGTCGCTTGCTAGCATGCATCACAACAGATTTGTTCAGCCACTGATCTATATATTAAACTGATATGTCTATATATACACTGATCTACAAACAGTAAGGGCCTGCGGAGGAGGCAGAGAGTGGGGTTAGGATCAGGATGAGGTTATGATGAGGGTGGGGTAGGGATTTGGACGAGGATTGGGAAATTGAAACTGACTCGCGGGTGTCTACACAATATGTAGACACATAATAAGTTATGCAAAGGGTAAAAGCCAATACAAACAGAACGAAGCGCGCACCATATTTCCGCAGTGCCAAACTCTATCGATCGTGTTTCTTTTGGCTATTCTGTGCCAATATCGAGGCGATTTTAAAAATTACAACATAATCCACCCCGCCGTGTCCTATCCATGAAATTATGGCGAAAGGGAAAATGTTCTTTATTTTATCTTTTTATGTTTTAATAATAAAAAATTAGTTTTTTAATCATGGAAATACCTTTCAAAAACTTGGGCTCAAACGACTAAAATAAACATTTTCTTGTCTTTCAGTTTTAAAATCTTGTTCATGTAATCAGCATATATAAACGTTTCAAAAGAGCTCTAAAAATTACTTTAATTATTGCTTGTGATCCGTAGTACACGCACTCGGAGTATGAGGAAAATCACACACGTAGTCATGTTGTCATGCGAAACTTCCTTGATTTAAAACTATAAGCACATCCCACTCACCGGATAACTGATCCCATCAGTATCATCCTACACATTGACAAACGACTTGCACATTTTCCAAAACAGTCCATAACATTTCCTCATTCCTTGCGGAATAGATGATAACATTTTTCATCATCAGGCAACGCAACTATTAGGCCCCGTACTTGCAATATATATATATATATATATATATATATATATATATATATAATATAGCATTTGTAAATTCTGAACGCTGATTGGCTAAGAGCCGTGTTGATATAACTCAATGTCAACACGG